GTCATTCACGTCACAGTCTGAGATTTGCTGATATTGCGTAAGGCTGCGCAGAAAAATCTTTTGAAGCTTTGACCAAAATGGCTACATCTTTGATCTTAGTTCAAAACCCTGGTTTGAAAGGCAGTGCCTGCTTGTTTTGTTTTCTCTTTTGAAACAATTGTTTATTTGTTTAAATAGTTTTTAAATGTGTGATCAATTGTTATATGCTTAAAAATAGAATACATTTAAATTCATATATTTGATTATGACAAAATAATCATGGGTTTTAGTTTTGTTACTCATGGATTTTCAACATTTGGATGTGAACAAGTGTATTTCCGACCTTAAGTCATTTTAAGCTTCTTTTGTGCAAGTTAAATGATAACTTAGTTCCTAGCTGAAGAGACAAACTAATTTAGAATGATTCTTACCCTGCTGTTGCGGAGGATTTCATTGTCTTCTTTGCCACCTCGACACACTAACTTCTGAATTTTTACCAGAAGCAGCTGCTGTGCTCTACAGTGACAAACATTTACAAACACGCACTCAGAAAACTTGCATGAAGGATTTTATACAATAAATCACATATAGTTAGTTCCGAAAGTTGTGCTTCTCCTGGAAGAATAGATATTTGATGATCAATCCTGGTCCTTGAGGGCTACTATCCTTTAGATCAGTGGTGTCCAAAGTCAGTCCTCAAGGATCGGTGCTCTGCYTGTTTTAGGTGCTGCCCTGGTTCAACACAGCTGGACCTAAGGAGTGCTTAAATAGTAGGCCTCCTCAGTATGCAATCAAGGTCTGCAGAGGCCTACAAATTACACCTTAGGTTCAGCTGTGTGGACACAGGGCAGCTCCTAAAACATGCAGGACACCGGCCTTTGAGGACTGACTTTGGACACCACTGCTTTAGATGAATGGGATGATAATGAATGTGTTATTAACAAGCTTCTGCTGATGTTGAAGACATGCTGAAGAACAGGAAATATCTCAAATGTGCAGGATAGCAGCCCTCGATGACAGGATTAGACGCCGCTTGAATAGATGCAGAGATAAGCCAAACAGCTCCGGTCTACAACACTGATGTGTATGTTTGAAAGGGAGTTCTAGGTACCGTGAGTTGCTGGGTATGGTGCCTCGTTCAGGAAGGTCAGACCCACTGTAAGGATCCACGCGAGAGCAAAACCAATCGCAGCGGCCCTGATGCCTGGTGTCCAGCACATGCACCACCTCATCGCAGCGCACGCTTAAAGAGCAGCTGTCTGACTGTCCGTAGATGTTCAGATTCACTCTTATGTAGAACGAGTCACCCGACGCTAAAGTGCCATCGGCGAGGTCTCTCTGGAGGCGGCGATATGCTGGAAAAAATGTGCACCATCAAATTTGTATTAAGTAATTTTCTATATTCAAAGCTTTATCAAATGACATATATCTGTTTAGGTAGGTTTTTATTCACCAGACTTGAATTTAAATTAAAAGAAAAACACAACTTACCGTCAAAGTTGGCCCGAAAGTGCAGCTTGGCTGGTCCAGAGCAGTGCTGCAACGTCCAGTGGGCCTCTTCCTGAGTGCTAGTGTCCAATGAAACGCTTTGGCTTTCCCCTCGTATGCACCCCTCCAGCTGATTAGTCAATCAAAGCAAAAAACATTTTAAGAAAATCAGAAAAGCCACTCATTCTAACAATAACACACATTTTCAGCTCTGACTGTTTTATTTTTGTAAGAAAGCAGTTAGTTCCGTACCAGCAGAAGATGGTGACCCTCTCGCAGCCCGGCTTTCTCAGCATTGGATCCCGACTGGACCGACGAGATAAAGATCCCACTCTCGTTGCCACCAACCAGTGTGATGTCCTTCAGGAGGTTGTCGCCTAGCAATGAAAGCTCCTTAATTGGCTTCACTGTGGCACTGATTCTGGAGAAGGATGACAAGGACGGGCGGAACGGCCTGCACACAAACATATAGGAACGTAAACATTCATCAGCAGAAGGGATTTGTTCCTCTTGGTTTTGTAAGTGTATGGGAACCTGAGCTGTACCTTTCCAAAGAGAGTTTTCTGAAGATGTTGTTGACTTGCTCCAGATCATAAGTGTCCATCCCCTCTGACTGGTGGGAGGAAGAGGAGGAGATCACAGAGTTTGGGCCATCTTCTGTAGAAAGACAGAGACTAATTTTACAAAACGATGCAGACAGAAGATAAAGAATTATTTATTTATTTCACCAATATTTCGTTATTTGTAAGTAAAGTGAAAAAGACAATTACCGCCTTCCATTTCCATGTTGTCGCTATCTGAGAGGCTACGAGACACAAAACATCAAAGTACATAATAGAAGTTACTCAAGTGAATACAAACCAAACTGAAATTTATATTCATTTACAAAAAGTCAAGCACACAGACGAAGAGCTGAAAGTTCATGCAAATTAACGGTTACAATTTCAGATCAAACCTATAACAGAGTTGGCAGTATGAGCTTGTTGCTGGTCCCATGTCAGTAGGAAGTGACACCCCTCTATGGTCTTTGTGCTGAACAGACTCATTCAGCCATTATATCCTGTTCTACAGCAGGCTGGTACTGGGTCAGAGTTGACATCCAACAGATTGGAACCCAGCTGACCATAGGAATACCTGAGTATGACAGTGGTAGTCAAGGAAGGGTAAGACAGGTCACTGACCCAGCTTTGTGCCATCAGGGTCCCTCAGATCTCTTCCAGAGGAAACCTGAAGTCGGACCTGATCATTCCCCACATGCTTCTCAATTGTTAGGTCTCATTTTTACCACTTCATGTCTGTTTGGTTCTAGTGTGTGTATGTCTCCCTGGCAGTGTATCCCTCACTCTGGGCGTGGCTATGGTCTTATTGTCCAGTAGTCTGACTTCATTTTTAAATATTTGTTGTGACATAATTTATAAGTGCAGGTGTAAGCATGGACAGCCAGTTTGTCTGAAACCTCTCGGTCTACCTGCTCATTTCTGATGCTCCATGAGTTCAACCTCTATGTGCTTGTCTGCTGAAGTAGATAAAATGGTTTGCACCTCTCTTCAGGAGGAGTTTGCAAGTACCGCCTTTGCTCAATCAATCCATGCGCAACAGACTGCTGACGTCAAAATTGCTAGCATGGTACATTCGGTTTGACCCGCCTGGAACCACTGCTGGGGTGAATCCAAAAACCGAAAATGGAGACACATCTGGCTGAGGCTGGATGTGTAAATCAGCAGCTTTATCTCAATAGGATATATTGATTTGTTTGGATGATCATACAATGTTTCTCTATATTACGAAGTCAGTCGTGATACAAATTCAGTTAAATCTAATTCACAAAGCTGGGACTGATATGATGCAATATGTGCCCATAGAACACAATTGTCATGTTAGATGGGTATATGATATAGTCGGCACGATATAGTTTTTGTCTTGCCATGATGTAATTGACTTATTAATCATTTAATCGACATATTGAAGTGAATCGATGTGTTGTTACACCCCTAATAAGAAGCACTTACGTGGAGAAGGGCTAATGACGACAGGGGTAATGCTGGCATGTCGCTCCACAACCCTGACAGGATTGATCTGATACAGCACCACTCGTCATTGGTCCATACCTCCTAGTTACGGCACCACTCCAAACATCCTTGCTCTGGTGTTACTGACCACAGCATGTGCTGTAAAAAGTCCAACACCTGCGTCTGGCTGGCAGGTGCAAATGTCATGGAGGTCTGTAATGCTGGGTGCACAATCCTTCCTTGGTGTGGTCTACGTTAGGTGACGGGAATTTTCACAACATTTTGGTGTACTTTCATGTACCCATTGTGACTTTTTTTCATGGTCTCGACTAGACCCTACTCAGGTTGAGTCAGCGCAGATTTGTTACGTTTGAGCGAAGGAATGAACCCAGATCCGGACAGAGAACGAAGTTATAATAAAAATATTTATTTAACAAAAATAAAGAGCTGACAGGGCAACAAAAAAATCAAGACACTAAGAAGCCACGGGAAACACAAGAACAACAAAACAGGAGGCAAAGCCATGTAACAATCCAGTGGGGAAATGACCAGTATTTAAACAAACAGAAGGAGAGAGGAAATGACAAACACCTGGGAGGAGGACTGATTGGTGATTGCAGACAGGTGAGGATGATAAACAGAGAATAACCTAGCTGAGGAGGACTGAAAGGTAGTGACACAGGGAAAACACAGAACAACAAAATACACATCCTCACAAGATTAGTCTTTTCATCGGATGATCCCACCCACTTCCAGCTCTCAGTACCTCCTTAGCTGCAGTTCTAATCGAGCCGAGTCAAGCCGAAGATTTGATGTCAGCAGACAATGACTGGCCAGAGACCTGCCAGCTCTTTGCAAATCCAATCATTTGTTTGCTCATCACTGGTCTGCATTTGGGCTAAATTATGTCCAAATCACAGCATTCCTTTTGTGTGCTTGACTTTTTTGTCTGCGAGTGTATAAAGGTTTACAATTCTTGTTATTTGTCTAAAAGAGCTGCATTTATTACCTGCGGGGTTGAAAGTCTTCTTCTTTTTCCCTCTCTCTGCGATACAGTGATGCTTTCTCTGGTGGCTCTGGGAGTATGGACAGGATGCTGTCTTTACGGCTAAACAGCTGAAACTTTTAGAAATGGAAAAAAAATAAAGAAAATTCCAATCCAAACCAGACAAGCCAAGAAAAAAAACATCTTCCAAGGTTTTCAGAAACAAAAAAACTCAGCCTCACCGTGCTGGATCTGTGCTGCTCTGAGGTGGGGTATGTGTGCAGTGATGGGGCTGGGGAGGAGGGGAGCATGTTGGGAGCCGAGGAGGGAGGATATGTCGGGGACATCGGAAAGCTGGGTGAGGGCGGGAGAGAGTTGTTGTTTCCGTTCACGTTTGGCATCTGAATATCCAGAAAATCTCCACCACTGAAGAGAGCCGCAGCTGAAAGGTGTGCACAGATGGAGTTACACAAAAGGATGTGGACCTTTAGTTACYCAAAGTGAAGGTAACCCTCGTGCCCTGCGTACCTGCTCGCTGGGAGGTGTCCAAGTTTATTGGAAGGTTTGAAACTGGAGACTTGGCTCTGATCTGAACAACAAAGTGTAGATTCATTTAGTTGAAAATATTTTGTTATGATTACCCATTTTTATAACCAAACAACTATTAAAAAGATAAGTTCTATATGTGTATTTCCATAAAGCACAACACAAATTAGTAGTTATTACAAGCACTAAAGTTCTGACCCTTAATGACCAGCTTCGGCAGCATCTTCATGAGGGTTTTTGCTTTTGATTTGGTGTTGATCCTCCATTTCACAGAGAAAATGCATGCATTTTGAGAGCTCTTAGCTTTTGTGTTAACGTTAAAAATATACAGTATGACTATATACTGTAGTATTAGCAAACTAACGCCATATATATATATATATATATTTTAGCTCTGCGCTAACATGAAAGCTAACAGGCTAAACTGAGGTTCTCCAATCTTTAAAGCAGCTCTGTTGTCCTCCATCCACATTTTTAGTTACAGGCTGAGTCATTTCTACCTTCTCCTCTCTGTCAAAGTGCTCTGGTTTCATTTAAAAGGGCTAATCGTCATATACTGTACAAGATTAAACTTCAGGGTGAATAAGAGTTTGCATACTCTAGCACAGAACGGGGCATAGGACCACCTAGTGAACGTCATCATCTGCCCGGTATGCTTTGTGGCGTTAATAAAAAGGCATCAGCTGGGTGACAATATATTTTTGTGATTTATAAAAACTAAACAGCCTACGGTGTTTTTATAAACTTTGTTTTACAATAATTTCTAATGTAACAAGTAATKGTGGATCTCTTTAAATCCAGCAAAAGCCTTGGACTATTGGATGATTGGTCAAATGAATGTAACTGACCCCCACGGCTTTAAGGTTAGGTCTGCGTTTCAGCCGGGGCTTTTCAGACTGAAACTTCTCCTCGTGCGACTCATCACTGGACCACTCTGATTGGCCCTGGCCCTGCCCCGGAGAGATGATGGGAGGAGGAAGGTCCCTCGGTAAACTCTGCAAAAACAAAGTTAAAAAAGAAAAAAGATAAATATTCAGTAAAATTAGCAGGAAATGCTTACATTTACACATCAAAAGCTAACAGCTGCTGCTATTATAGTGCTTACAGATAACCACATAATAAGTATCCATCCATCCATTATCTATACCTGCTTGTACTGGTGCCCATATCCAGCAGTCACAGTGTGAGGGGTGGGGTACACCCTGGACAGGTCACAAGTCCATCACAGAGACACACATAGAGACAAACAACCATTCCCTCTCTCACTCACACCTAGGGACAATATAGAGTTACCAGTTAACCTAACAGTTGTGTTTTTGGTCTGTGGGAGGAAGCCGGAGCATCTAAGAGAACATGCAGACTCTACCCAGAAAGGTGCCCGGGCCAGGATTTGATCTGGTTACCTTCTTGATACCAACTGAGCCACTATGCCACCACAAATAAGTATAAAATATAAAATTGATGTAGAAATTTATAAAATAAAAACTTATTCCAAGCTATAACAATGATCATATTTTTCTTTTGACTCTGCTGTGTCTAACCTGGTCCAGAGGAATGTCTTTGGACATCCTTCGAAGGCGACACTCGAGAGTGACCAGCTTGGCCTCTTTGCGAACGATCTCAATGTGGAGTTCGTCGCTCTTCTCCTCCAGCTCCCTGATCTGCTTTCGGTATTTGTCTTTGTCGATGAGGCTCTGGGAGAACTGGTGCTGGGCATCGTCTCTGGCTCGAAACGCCTGCAGGAAAGTGTCACTGTCAGTCAGAGTGACGGAAACCTACGAGTGTGTCAGAACAGGAGTGTGTCGTCACCTGGTCTCGCTCCTTCTCCACCTCCTCCAGCTGGGCGGTGATGGTGTCGATGCGGTTGCGGTACATTTCGCAGTCCTTCTGAAGCGAGGAGGACTTCAGCTCCAGTTCCTCCTTCTCTTCCAAGTACTACAAACACACAAACACACACACAAGCTGGTGTTACTCAACTTCAAAAAATAAAAAGTAGTGGTGTCCCAATACRGATACCAGCAATTTTTAAGTTCCTGTACAAAATGCCCCGATACTTGGAACCAATACCAATATCGAAACAGGGATATTGGTATCAATACTTCATTGAATGTGTTACAGTTTATATTTCAAGTGAAAAGTTTGTCAATTCCGTGTTTAAGAAATGTGAGTTGAAATAAAATCTTATTTGTTATTTTTATTCATTTAAAATGTAGCAACAGTATTTTTGACGTTGCTTATTTGAATTGATCCAGTCATGGTGGTTATTTCTATAAGAGACATCTTGTTCTAAATAAAAGAAATGTTTTTAATGTCATTGTGCACCATTTAAGTTTTAACTCAGGAAAATTAGGACACCCCTCATAGAAAGGCATACAGACAAAAAGAAATGCTAAAGGTGGTGATGGGTTTGTATTTTCAGCCCTTCCCTGCGTATTTTGTCCCATGACCATCAATCATGTCATCGAGGGGTGGGACAGCGTCCATCATCTTTCAACTCAGAGGTTTTATGTTTCAGGTCATTTCATGACATCACGTTTGATGAGAATCCTTCGGTCTTCAGAGGAGGTTATGGTTGACTTGATGACTGAAAGAAACTCAGGCCTCTCAGCTACAGAACAAGCCCATGTCCTCACCCCTCCACCACTGTGCTTACAGTAGGTGAGACATGTTTGTGCTGATAAGCTGGCTGCTCTGCATTATGGTCAAACAGCTTTATTTTGGTCTCGTTTATCCAAGAGATCTTGTTGTTCATTTRGATGCAATTTTCAAAATGCAAGATTAAATATTTTTGTAAACTTGAGGTTGGATTTGAATAATATTATGCCCCTTTTCCACTAATGTCACTTAGTGTAGTGTTGGTACGGTCAGTGTCGGAACGGGCCAGTTCAGGTGCTTTTCCTTTGACCTTCCAGTCTGGTTCCAGTGGGTGTGTTTTCGGCGGTTGGTGGAGGTGCTTTTTAGGTTTTTCAGAAAAAGAGTTAATGCTCAAAAAAAGAGATAGAAACACATTTGCCGAATAAGTTCTGACATTTTAAAAATTCGCTAAAAATTTGAATTAAAGTTGGATAGAAACAATGTTGCTGCTACAATTGAAAAAAATGGCACCTTGATTTGTTGTAAAGGCAATTCAGACCCAACCAGTGACTCCACCCCCTAGCCAATCAGTGATGAACAGTGCTCTGACATTGCATGTTGGTGTCAACTGMGACCACTTGGAACCACAACGAAGCAGGTACTTAAAAAAGAGCCGGTTCCATGAATCTGGCCTAATGGAAATGGCTTGGAACCGTACCAAACCGTACCGACAATACACTAAGTGGCCCTAGTGGAAAAGGGGCAGGAGATCATTTTTTATGTCCTATGTGAAAGTCTAGACGTGACAGAGGGTGGGCTTTCTGTTTCTCACGTTTCTAAGTACTGTGTGAGTGTTATTGTTAGATAAGTGAGTTGTGACCTTGTCTCGCAGCTCCTCTGCCTGTCTGACTTCTTCCAGCAGGCTGTAGAGGCGGTTGACCAGGTCCTGTCTGTCTTCTAGAGCTTCCTGTCTGTCGTGCTCCAAAATTTCAAGGATGGCTTTGTCTGACGCTGGTAAGGGGCCAGGCTGGGTGCGAAACACACATATACAGCACGTATGGTTAGGTATGGAAGAGCTGTGACACAAATGTAATCTTTCTGTCATCGATGCTGTGTGATGAAGAGTGGAAAAAGTGAGAGTGATGATAAGTATTCCACCGCAAAGTCTGCACGCTTTACTGTTTTGTCTAACACTCAGCTCTAATCAGCGTCAGCTCAGTATGAGTTTTGTAAACACAAAATGTTGTGTTACTCTGGCTGTACCTGTATGATGGACTGCAGCTCCTGTAGTTTGATCTTGAGCATTTCGTTCTCTCTCTCCAGCTCAAAAATCTGCTCTCTTTTTGGCCGATTCTCAATGTCGTTCTTCAGTTTCAGACTCTGCCTCCTCTCCATCCTGCACTCCTCCTCCACCTTGTTCAACTTGTGCTTCAGCTGATCGATCTAAAGAGAAAAACAATGATTCTCAGCACCCCTGAACSATGACCGATCCTCGGTACACTGTTCGTGTTTTAGTGATGGTTCTTCTGATGTGGTGTAACCTCGAGCTGCAGGTCTCGGCTCCTCATTACGGCCATGTTCTTCTCCTCGCTCAGCGTGGCGTACCTCATGGCCAGTTTGTAGTTTTCATCCTTCACTCTCAGCAACTCGTCGCTGTAGGTGTTTCTCTCCTCTCTCAGCTTGTTGTACCCTGAACAGCCCACCAGAAGTGCAAACGATGAAAACTAGGGATGGGTGTATCAATCTAAATATTAATACCAAAATGACAATCGGCATTAGATTGATACTAACGTGATTAGATCAGTACTTTTGTTTCAATTTCTCTTCTATACGTCTAACGAATTACTCAAATTTTCACTCTCTTTCTGATTTTATTTGCACTAGGGACTTTATTTTTCACAAACATTTGTGTGCAATGAAAGGTATTTGGTTTCATTGTTGAAATGGTTATATTTATATTCTTGTTATATTCTTATTATTTTATGTTTTTCGCTCTTGTATTTATTTATTTATTTCCTTCATTTAACCAGGAATGTCCCATTGAGTTAAAAAACCTCTTTTTCAATGGAGTCCTGGCCAAGAGGCAGCAAAAAGTATACGTTTGCATAGAGTTACACAATTAAAACACAATACAAACAATCATTATTAAAAACATTCACGATTTAAGGACGTAATCTCTAATTCCCTCAATCTGGACTTAAAGGTGCTCAGTGGGATCAGTTCAGTTAACTTCCTGACTTTTTGCAACATGTTCCATGTAGATGGGGCAGAGTAAACAAAGGCCCTTTCCCCCAATTCTGTACAGAGAAATGGGACAGAGAGCAAGAAATACTAATTTGAACGCAAGGAGTGTGAATCAACACTTGACATTTTTCTTAAACATTTGTGCATAGTATAAGGTAATAGTGGAATTATTATATTATTTTTATACTGTTACATTGCTTTAGATTGCTTTAGTTAGTTAATAAAAACTGATTTGCCTGAAATCTTTGTGCTGTTGTTTTATCAAAACTGACTACCTAAAGACTAAATGAAAAATGATCATGATGTTTCAAGTACAAGAAGTATTTTGTATCAAAATCGGCATTTCTAGCCTTTATTGAAAATTAATTTTATTTACTTGGTATACCAACCTACTTAGGATCGCCTACCCCTAATGAAAACTCCCTTGATTCTTTGCGATCAAAAAACTTTGTTAAACTCAGCTGTGTATCACAAGAGATAAAAAAAAGTAAAAACAACCAAACAAAAAAAGCATGTGCAGAAGTAGCAGCTTCAGCTGGGAAGCTTTTGATTAGTCGTTCACAWATTTAAGGCTTTTATTTTAATAAAYTTTACTGGAGAAACAAAACTTTGTGAGTCAGTGTAAACTGGGAAAATCAAAACTTTGCTTTTACTTTGCTGGAAGGCTTGAAGCTCCTGATTTGCCAGGCTGAGCTTCTTGCGCTCGTCCTCCAGCGTGAGGGTCTTCCTGCTGAGCTCAGCGTTCTGCAGGCTCTTGACTTTGGTGTGCTGCCGCAGTTTCATCACTTCCGTCATGAGAATCTGAGTGAAACCCTCCTGACCCTCCTCCGCTGAAACAATATATTACGACAGTTCGTACGATATTACCCAAGACATCATGAARTGCACCTTTTAAACACCTTTTTCATCATCTCTGTGCAACCTTAACCTCTCACATTGTTATATGCAGGCTGTGAATGTGTGTGTATAAAAGTGTGTGTCTCACCTACGACGGGGGAGAGGCCTCGTGTTGTCTCTTTTCCCGTGATCAACTTATACAGTTCTGGGTAGTAAAACTCCAAACTCTCCAAAAATACCACATACCCCGGGCTTCCTTTAGTGCGCAGGATGTCAAGTAGACGGCCTGATAAAAGAATACAGCATGATATATGAGTTGTGTTTCCAAAAGTAGCTATTCTGTTCAAATTTGACCTTAAAAACACATACTGGTCAAAATAAGATCCCAGTTGTGCATTTACATTTTCCTACTCACTTGTGCGGTTGACCTTGGCGTTCAGCAGCAGGGAGTTGAGAATCTCATCCTCGTCCTGCTCATCCAGCACTTTGCACTGCCGGAGGTACGGGGTGAGCTTTGATGGGGTGATGACCCGACACAGCTCGTAGCGCCTGCATTCCAACTTCTCCCACAGCGCGTCCACATCTTCCACAGTACCGTTCTCCATCTCGTACACAGCCTGAGAAATAGTCAAACCAGTTGGGCTGATTTATTTATTTAAGTACCCAGTACCTACAGACCAAAAAGAGCTTGGAACTACAGGTAATAATCAGTACACAACTGATAATTTAACAATCTAAGACAACAGTTGTCCTTATATTGCAGCTCCCTCTGTGATTCTCTCCTCGTGTTTCCCTGTGTGTACTCCTGACATTTTTATCCTGTAGGGAAAGTTGGCTGCTTTGTGAACATGTCGTTTTATTTAGTTTAATAAATCGGTTAATTTTCTTGGGGTTCAGCATGTGTTCTGGGCTCTGTCCTCAACTGACTGACAGAAGTGGGTTTAGGTCAGGGGTGCCCAAACATTTTCCCTGAGAGGGCAAAAATGAAAATCTATCTGGGGCTGAGGGTCAAATAATACATGAAACACAAATACTTTTTTAAGTAAAGTCCTTTATTTTTAACGATTAAGCTATGTAATGGCCCTCTTTAGTTTTAGTCTGTGCACTTGGAGAAAGTCTTCCATGCGCTCAAGTAGCAAAGGCTCATGGGACATTTCATAAATTGATAAAATATGAGTTTTTATGGCCTTATAAAGTGTGCAAATCTACATGTGGTGTTAAATCTGATCTAAATATTTCTTGTCATTTCATGTTTCATGTTTAATCCTAATAAATCAAAGATAAAGTCAACACCATGAATGAAAACTAACATCAACAGCAGCCCTTTTATATAGTCATTTGACCAATGGAAATACTGTTTCTACTTAGGATAACAGGTTACAACCTTGTAACTTTGGCAACTGTTGTTGGGCCAAATCAAATGGCTTGGTGGGCCAAATTTGGCCTGCGGGCCCCACTTTGGGCTCCTCTGGTTTAGGTGAAAAGTTAATTAGTTAATAGTAAACTTTTGGTGTATACATGTACATATGTATGACCAAGATATATTGAATTAAACATTTAAAAGCTTAGGGGGGAAATACACAAAGATACTGTGATAAACTTTTGGTCAACTAGTTAAATGTGGTGCATGTGTTTTTTGATTCTGCTCGGTTTGGTTGTATCATCTTGACCCAGAAGAATGAGTCAACTGTAAAACATAAGAACAAAAAATATGCTTTATGCTCCTGTTAATGAACAGCTGCACAGTCAAGGTAACAACCGTGTCACATTGTGCTTGACGTGATTTTGTTCAAAGTTTCTGTGGTATTTCAGATGAACTTTAAGAATAGAGCTGCCACAAACGATTATTTTTATAATAGATTAATCACCGATTATTTTTTCGATTAGTCGACTAATCAGATCATACGTTAATTGAATATAAAACATACAGCTTATCGTGCCAGAATGTAGCTGCTATTATATAACCATCGTTAGATTTTAGCTATATGCTAACTAAAAATAATTGCTGTGGAAGGCAAGTTCTGCTCTGCAGATATTACACAGGTTTCTCTTTCATTTTCTTAAAATGATCTCACACTTTTGAGCTCTGTCATCAGGTAGCCATGATACCAGAGCCTGTCTGTATAATGTCTTGTGACGTCCACGGCCTACCCCAGTTACCACTACTGTGCATGTGTGTCAAGGACAGAAAGGCAGATGTGGCAGTGGAAGGTGTCAAAGCAGTTTGGAGAGAAAAACAAAGTAAAGAACAAAAAAAAAAAAGAAAACGATTAATCGATTATTAAATTCAGTCATTGGTCGTCGATTAGTCGATTAATCGTTGCAGCCCTATTTAAGACTGTGTGAAAACTAATAAGAAATGGTGACTCGTGCAAATAAAGTGAAAGTGTGGGAAAATTCTGCTTAACAGCTCCATCTCCTGCAGTGATTTAAAGCCTTCAGCTGACAGCTGTACATACCTGTCCACTTTGGTGATGTTTCAGCGTACAGTTTGAGCATTTCAGGTTAGAGCTGACTGTAAACTGATCATAACCATTTCTGATTTAACAATTTAACATCAAGTTGTTTTGCAGCTTGCAGCTTGTTCAGATAAAAGCCAGTCAGAACCATTTTGCAGGTAATAATTTTACATTGTTTAAAGGTTAATAAGACAACCATGAGGTTTAAATCATATATGTTTTACTGCAGTTACCTTAGTGTTGATTTTACCTGAACTGCACTGCAAAGTGTACAAACACATATTAGAGGAAATAAATTGACAAATAGATTAGTTTTACATGATATATTTTTACATTATATTTAAAACTGCTAATTTCACGGACTGAAACATTTGAAAGATGATTTGTTCCAGTTTGTTTGTACGTTTGACCAAGGTAGTCAAGCTACTGTTTTTTTCCCTCAGTTTTAGTTCCTTTATTATGTATTTGACATTGGGTGTTATACTCCTAATGACACTGACTGAATGAGGTCAAATCCTGTTTTTTTCACATTCTTCACTAAGTTTGGGAAGCTATTGGTTTCTTTAAGATTGCTATAGGCTACTGGTGCACAGTGGAAGGGTACTGACTGATACTACACATCTATTTGGTATCAGAAGGGGGGGAAATGAATCTGTGCATCCCTAGTAAAACGTTGGGAAGGTAAAGTCTGCTCTGGAAGACATTTTCTCCAGATAAAAAGATGTCTGAGCAAACGTGAGGGAAAATGAATACACAATATTTACATTCCAGCCTGGTGCAACAAACCTACCGGTGGTGCAACAGAATGTGTTAGACTAAAATAATTTTGTAATTTCCTGAAAACATGCAGCAATGTTACCCCTTTTTTATCCTCAAAGATCTCCAGATACTGAACGACTTCGAAGAGAAACAATGTTAACAAAATCTCCTGACTGGGGAGTGTCAGGGTGAGAGCAAAACATTGCTTTTTTTCTCCGAGTACTTGCTGGAACGTTTAGACACTCATGAGGTCTTCTTCTCGAATTAAGAATCTTTCACCAAAACTTTCACCAAAATCAGACTTCAAGTTGCATCTTGGGTCAGACTTTTCAGATGGAACCAACCAATRATACTGTATATTCAGTGGTTGTGTATCAGATTTGTGGCTAAAATTAAGGTGTTATATAAGTTCAGTTCAGGCTTATAGAACTTATATAGTATTTTATCAAGTGTTTTACACTTCAGTCATTCACCCATTTACACACACACACACACACACACACACACACACACACACACACACACACACACACACA